TTTCAACCAAGCAGACAGATCAGAGGCAGAACCAGCAGCAGCAGACTGGGATACAGATAAGATAATACTATTTTTAGAGAGGGTAAGGAGGCAGAAGGGCTAGAAGGTCCATAGGAATTCTAGTAGATCACTAATTTGGAAAGTTTTCCTAACAGCATTGACTCATTTTGAAAGCTTATTAAATGAAAGCCTTAGTTTGTGTGCTCTGTAATAAAATTAATTCTTATCTCTATGCACCTCTCTTTCAGCACACAGGAAGTGTACTCCCACAAGTGTAAGAGTCAATGCTTGAGTTCCACCTGCAATGCATGGTGTCTGCCTTTTAAATCTGCAAATATTATCTACACATTGTGCTGATGGAACAGCTACCAAAAGTATTGATAAAGCAGATGCGTTAGAAATACAATTACCCCATGTGTTGTTTTTGTGTGTGTGTGTGTGTGTGAAATCTCATCTATTAACACACTGTATAGATAAGATTAGCAGATCAAAACAGACTAATAGATTAAAAAACTGTGTATTAACAAATTATTATAGATCAGAATCTAAAATAATTAAATCAGGTAGCATGCATTCAGCTTCCACCTGTTGGGGAGCCTAATAAATTAGCTTAAGGAATGGGTATGAGACCAGGTTGCACAGTATCTTACTTTCCAAAAGGGAGTGTTTTGTGTGGTTTTTTTTTTGGGTTTTTTTTAACCTCCTACCAATCCTCTCCTTTCCACCCACATACCAACTGTTCAGCACACTTTTAAAGTTTTCCCTCCTACACTCCAATATGTAAATAATTAGACGCTAGAATAATTTGTATCAACGTTGACTTTTTAAATTTTATTTATTTTTTTGTCAAATATACCAAGCAATAACAGGGTAGTGCATATAGATATAATAAATTATAAAGATGTCGCTTTTTATCAGATACTCAGGAGTTTTTTGTGAAATAGGAAGCGAAGTATAATTAACAGGTACATTTCATATATTTGGCCAAACTTGCTGAATTAAAAAAACAAAAAACTAAACATCAAGTGACAATTTTCCAATTGTTACTTTCTTAAAATTTGCAATTCAGTTGTCAATTCTTTAAGCCATGTTTTCTACTGAAGGTGCACATGCATTGCGATGACCTAACTGCAGTGCAGTTCAGATGCAAATACCTCCATGATTCCTTCCAATGACTGGGTCAAATCTATGCTTATACATCGCTGTTCAGGCCTACAGCTATGTCCGGCGTAAGGCTTGGGTGCCCACGCTGGCAAAATTGAAACATTATGAAAAATCAATCACCAAAGTTAATCAAAATTTGATTTGGGGAGTTATCATTTTTTGACACCCTGTATTAGGTTAGCGCTTAAAATAGCACTCCAAGCACCAAAAGCATTGCAGCACGCCATAGTGGTTATAGTGACAGGAGTGCCCTTGTCAAGCCATTTTAGAAGAATTTGACTTCTTACCTGGGGTCTTCTAGGAGCTACTACTTTAGTAACTTCCTGGGGTTAAACACTGTATTGCATGGCAAGCTCATTGACTTAGTGACACCTGATCGCTCTCTGCCATCGAACCACGGGGCTTAGCTCACACAGCTGGTGGACCCTAGGTAAGAACTGAAACCATTCTAAAACTGTTTGACTACTTAAAATGAGTCACCAGAAAAAATTACCACTAAAGATACATATAAAGGCAAACCTACTAAAGAAAGTGTGCCCTCTAAAACACCAATACAATAATGGCTTTTGTTTCATTACTTAAAATGAGTGGCTGTCAGGGAAATCCCGGGACTGCACCCTACACACTCTAGTGTTTATGGTGCTTCAAGTGCTCGTTTAAAGTAGGTGTCTGCAAACTCTGGCACGCCAGATGGTATGGACTACATTCATAATGTTCTTGCTGCCATAATGCTGGCAGAGCATCATGGGAGATGTAGTCCACAACATCAGGAGTGCCGAAGGATGCCTTTCCGGCTTTAAAACAACATCCTAGTCAGCGCTGTATTTGCCGTGAGGCAAACAAGGCATTTTCCTTGGGGGGCATTTTCCAGGGGGCGCCAAAAAACGCCACCCCGAAATGCCCAGGCAAATACCTTGTTGGCCTCGGGGCAAACGGCCAGTTGAAGTCCAGGCGAGCCACAGAGTGATGCCGGGAGCTGGAATATGATGTCACATTCTGGCTCCCGGCATCACTCTGTGGCGCGCGAGGGAGCTGAGCAGGGAAAGCTCACAAATCAGCACGAGGGAGCCGCCCACCTGTATGCCTGCCTCCCTCCCTGCCCAAACAGCCCGATCAGCAGCCCCACTTGATCCAAGGTAAAAAAAATCCACCCAGCTCTCCCAAAGGTAGGGAGGCTGGGTGGATTCAATTAAAATAAAAAAAATAATTTGTGAGTGTTGGGGGGGGGGGAAATGTTTGTGTATGTATGTATGTCAATGTATGAGTGTGTGTGGGAGCCTGTGTGTCTGTCAGTGAATGTGTGTGTGTGAATGATTGTGTATGCCTGTGAGTGGGTTGGTTTGTGTCTGTCAGTGATTGTGTGTGTGTGTCAGTGTTTGTCTGTCATTCAAAGTGTGTGTTAGTCTTTGACATGAAGAGGTGTGGCCTTGACAAGAAATAGTGGGGCATATTTAAATTAGGGGGTGCCTGAGTTCTGTCATGCCTAGGGCAGCACAGATACAAAATACACCACTGATCCTAGTTATGATTAATATGGGTTTTAGATGGCAAGCTCATGTCCTCACCCAAGTCCTGCCTGACAAGCCTCCATGCTGCTGCCATTAATTGAACAGAGTACCAGAGTGTAGGCTGTCCGTCATCCTAAGAGCACTAGCTGAGCAGGAAGCTGCTATAAGATTAAACATGAGTTAAAGTGCAAAACACCATCATACTGTTTAAATATCACTATTTAAAATATGCGTGTCATGTGATCTCTGATCATTTTTATTTATAGCTCTTCCTGCAATCTTCACAAACCGAAATGGTTACTTGTCTGGATTTTGTACCAGTTTCATTGTTTCTTTATTTGGAATGATTTACACATGTTTGTGTTTCTTACTGTTGCATAGTTATATTAAAGGAACACTCGATAGTGGGGAGTTTGAGGGCAAGGGGGAATCATCCCTTTTTAGATTTAGTAGATGTAAATCCCCAATAATATTCATTTTATATTTTGGGGAGAAAATACATTTCTGCAGCTACAGTAAACCTTACCCCCCACCCCATATATGCTGGACTTTGGCCGAACTCAGGCTTCTAACTGAGAACACTTGTGGACAAATCATGCATGCACGCAACTAGCCAATCATAAGCTTCCCAATAGGCTGTATTTAGCTCTGATAATTGTACGAATTGTAAGGGCTGAGATCTGCGTCGTCCCTCACGTCTTTAAATTATCTTTCAAAACCGATGAGGCAGGAAACTCTCTCAGCTGTCAGATTGACACAAGGTGTCAAAAAGGTGTTTTATAAACATGCCGATTTCTCTTGCCTGGCAATTTAAACCTAAAGCACTTCAACAATTGAAGTAGTTTATGTGCCTTCAGTGCTCCTTTAAGCATGGCTGCACACGTTCTATATATCAGACATGCACAGCTGATATTCAAATGCAAGACCATCAGCTGTTAATGAGCCGCAAGTCTGGTGTTTTGGTTTTGTAGGTTTTTTGTTTTTTAAATATTGTTGCTCTCTACTGATTATCTTTTTGTGATTTCTAAAATTATTTTTTCTCTGCCTTTTGTGTGCTGGATTCTTCTCAAATTTGTGTAGGCCTGATATGGAGTATAAGTGAGTTACATTGTCTAACCTAACATTACATTTGTAAAAAACAAAGGAAAAAAACAATAATGTCTGCTTGATGTACGTGTCTCTCTCCATAGTAAACAGTAAATTTATATCCAAGAACAAGCTGTACCCTTGGGATGGGCTTACTTGCGTAGTGTTGTCCTTGACATATGGTCCAGTTTTGAGCAAAGTCAATGGCAAAGGTATTAAATCATTTGTGTTTCTCATATGATCTGTGTAATAACTGAACTTTAAATAGTTATTAAGCCTTGGTAAAGTCCAATAATATATATTAGTGAATTCCACCCCAGGGCTTGGGAGCGATCGTGAAGGTGTGTTAAGGTTGTTAACATTAAGGAGTGTCTATTATAGAAAAGGAATTCAAATACTCACTAGTAATTTGTAACAAGTTACAGAATTAGGTCCTAAATAGCCAGGTTATTTAAAAAGTAAGCAATTACAGCCAAGACAGGATTTTAGGTTTTGTTTTTTTCCCAATTATGGTGCTTTTTGACCTGCATTTTACTAATCTGTTTTTGCTTCAACACATCTCGCCTTGAAATGATACACAGCTATGATAATTAAAATTATTTTAATGTCATTGAAATAACTGTGAAGGTGTTTTTAGTATCGCTCCAAAGGCCATTTAGGTGTAAGCTCACGTCGCGGCAAAACATCTTAGGTGAGTCCTACACAAACAATTCACCTTCCTGCTTTCAGCAAAAAAGCACCAATCTCTGAGACAGAAAGGGGTATTTTTGTAAAACCCTACATGCTTATCAGCCCTTTATAAGTTAAACATGTGGTGGACGACAGCACTGTAACATGGCGATGAAGTGCAGGCCTTCAGTTTATGCGTTTTTCATTTAACATTAAACTTTTTTTTTGTTAAGGAATAACTGATGCTTAGTACTAATTTAAAAAAAAAAAAAAAAAAACAGTCTTGATTTTGACCTTCTACTTAGGATCAAGGAGAGGCGCCTGTACTGTGCCTAATGTGAAATCCGGCCTTGTGTTCTTCCATGTTCCTGAATGCAATTCGGCTAGAGCAACCCATAATATATTATGAAATGAAAGTGTCAACCCCCTTATTTTTGCATGAAATGCACACTTTAAACCAGGTATGTCAAACTTGTGTTTTTTTGTAAAATTAGTACTAAGCGTCAGATATTTCTTGAAGAAAAAAAATAAAATAAAGTATAATGTTAAATTAAAAAATATATAAACTGAAGGCCTGCGCTTCATCTCTCTCTGTGTGTGTGTGTGTGTGTGTGTATATATATATATATATATATATATATATATATATATATATGTGTGTGTATATGTATGTGTGTATATATATTTATATATACACACATACAGAGAGATGAAGCGCAGGCCTTCAGTTTATGTATATATGTGTATATATATATATATATATATATATATATATACACATACATACACATAGTTCAGCGAATTCATATACATTTCCCATGATTCTTTTCTCATTTCGGGAAAAAAACTTCCCTAAATAACATGTTTTAAAGTCATTTTGGGCTTTTTATTTTATTACATTTTAAGTGGTTTGATTTATTTATATAGTTTATAATTTGTCCTCCTAAACAGTCTGAATTGACTAGATGTATGTAGTATGCAGGGTGAGCCAGAAGGCGATATGTAACATATGGAGTTTTCATTGAGGCTTCCTTGTGATCATGCACAGGATGTCTTAGATCATTATTGCACTTGGCAGAATGTCAGGCCTTCCTGATCTAGCATAAGACATTCTCTCTCATTATTGTCTTTCGTCCTGTTTCCAATAATGTAAAATTTTCCACAGTGTGTAAAGGCAGGTGCTTCTCTGCATCATACAAACAAAGTCACAGAAGGAACTCTCTGCAGCGATTGCCCTCCACCAAATGGTAGAGAGGAATCCAGTTTTAATTCATACAATTTGTTCTTTTATTTATTTTTTCTCATTTTCTTTATTTGCATAATTCCAGGTTAGGTTTTTCTACTGGCAGCAGTACATTGTGCCAAATTTTAATTGATGACTTAAGGACCAAATGCATTCTTATTCCTGGTCTAGCCAGGTGCATGTTATGTTGACCGGTCTAGAATACTTGCTGCTTGATTTCCCACTCCAATATAAAGTATGGTGTCAGCTGATTAAATGCAAAATGTTGGATCCACTGAATAGACCAAGTGAGTTAAACAAGCATAGAAACGTAGACTGTAACGGCAGATAAGAACCATTCGGCCAATCTGCCCAAATTTTCTAATTACTTCCATTAGTCCTTTCTCCTTATCTTATGACTAGGATAGTCTTATGTCTATCCCATGCATGCTTAAACTCCCTCACTGAGTTAACCTCTACCACTTCAGCTGGAAGGCTGTTCCATATATCCACTACCCTCTCTGTAAAGGAATACTTCCTGATATTATTTTTAAACCTTTGTCCCTCTAATTTGAGACTATTTCCTATTGTGGTAGTTTTTCTTCTTTTAAATATAGTCAGCATTATGCTCAAATTGCGTCACCTTGTGACAGATGCATGGACTACAATGGTCTTGAGTACGAGCACAGAAGCTATTGTGTTTTTTTAATTTGCTCTTATAGTTAATGTTTATCATTTACAGTAAACAGTCTAAGCTATTATTGTTATAATAACATTTATATAGTGCCAACATTTTCCACAGTGATTTACAATTGACCAATGGGATATTTAAGAACAATTAATTGAAAGACAAAATATAATGTTGAAAGACAAGAGGTGAAGATGGCCAGCTCAAACAAGCTTACGATCTAGGAAGGAGTAGAGGAACACAAGTGGAAGAGCAACATTTCAGAAGTTGATGGATATGATGCATGCGACTAATTAAGCTTGGGAAAGTAGTTTGTGAAAGGAGATAGGATGAAGTGGACTATGGGTACAAGAGAAGTGTGAAGGGGCAGAAGGGTTAATGTAATGAGAGAAGAACCAACCATCAAGATGGTAAGCTTTGCTAAAGAGATGGATGTGATGGTAGTCACCATCACTGGGAGCTAAAGTAGAAAAAAAAACCTGAAGTGTCTCTGGAACAATGGGTCAACACCTTTCTGGGAAAACAACAAAGAAAGTGGTGAGAAAAATAGACATCCTGTTCCTATAATGGGCACAGGGTGACTAAGACATAAGACCAATCTGGAGATCCACATGAAGTGTCTGTCTTCAGATCCCAGTGATGGTGACTACTGTCACAGTGGATTTTTCATGGACAGGAGCTAGGTGAAAGTTAACTAGCTATATAGTAATCTAGATTGAAAAAAGAGAGTTCTTCTAGAATGAGGTTGGGTATTCTTTAGGGATGAGGCAACCTTTCATAAATCCTGTAGATGAGTTTGCAATGTAGGTACAGACAGGGGAGAAGATCACTTAACATGCACACCTTTTCTGTTTATGTTTTGGTATCTATCCAAAGTGGTACAAGGGAGGACAACCAGTGAAGCCGCGTCAGGGTCATGGGTGGCTAAGGCTCATTGAAGCCTATCTGGTCTGCCCACACAGAAGAGCTACTGGAGTTTAATTTTCTTTAAAAAAAAAAAACCTATGCTTGTCATGATGGAAAGGTGTCAGAAAACACAGTGCGTCACAGTTTGCTACATATGGAGATGCTGGAAAATCTTTGGTTCTGGCATTCTTGGGGCTGTTGCTTTGACACCTTTCTAGAGATTGTTGCAGACCACATACACCCATGGCATGGCAATTGTGTTCCCCCGATGGCAGTGGCCTCTTTCTTTAGGATAATGCACCCTGCAACATTGCAAATATTGTTCACAAATGGTTTGAGGAAACATGGCCTCCAAATTCCCCAGATCTCTATCTGAGAATCACTGGGATGTGCTGGAACAACAAATCTGATCCATGGAAGTCCCACTTCATAACTTTCAGAACTTAAAAGATCTGCTGCTAATGTCTTGGCGCAAAATATGACACGACATATTCAGAGGTCTTATACCGTCCATGCCTTGACCCATCAGAGCTGTTTTGGCAGGAAGAGAGGAACCTACACAATATTAGGCAGGTGGTTTTAATGTTGTGGCTGATCAGTGTATCTACTAAATGGAGATTTTTAATTATTTTTATTTTGGCAGTTAAGTTTCCTTTTTAAGTGTTACTGGAACAAGAAGCTTAGAATAATGTGTAGCGGTGTAGACCAGACATGCAGAGTTACAAGTTCTCTAACAGCAAACCCCTACGGTGTTTAGACAGGCCATGTGGCAGTGAGCTCAGCATGGTCGTTGATCCTGGGGATCTCAGACTTAGACAACAACCGAATAATAATCATCTTTTGTATTCAAGTACTATAATGATGGGATGAAGGATCTGAGGGATAATACAATCTTTTGTGATTAGACCCATGTGATGTCTATTTCCTGTAGGTGCAAGATTTAAAGGGAAAAAAAACTTTTAGCAGTTTCATTCTTTGGAACAATTGTTCATTTTGTTCCATTCTGAATTTTCTGTGTAGCCCTCATGAATACACATCTCTGAAGATACACTATTGTGGTGAAACAATAGCAGGAGGTGATCTCACTAATGTGCTTTAGATGTATGGAGGTGTTTCCATTTTGTTCTGTAATATATTCTGTGTGAGACCACAGTGTAATGATAGGAGTGGGCTGAATGTTCAGATAACTCCCGTTCTTCTGCAGTATTTTTCAGGTCTTTAACTACCATTTCTTCCGAGATTATGGGGTGCATTTGACAGGTGCCTAAGCATCTGTTCGATTCTATTTGTCTCTTTATCCATCTGTACACAATAAACAAGTTGGCAGCTTTTATAGCAGACTATTCTCTTTCCCATATCCTCGGTTTACAATTCAGTATCTGATAAAACTGTGGCATGTGGCTTTCATATCAACAATATGTATTTATTTGCAATCCATCTTTTATCTAAGGTCGTTGACCTTGGCAAATAAACATTGCTTTTTCTGATTCCCTGCCAGCCTATCAGATGTGTATCTAATGTGTTCTGCCAACCATACCACCCAACATTTCAAATGGTAAAAGTAGGACACTTCTATTTTAGAAGTGTGGGTGTTGCCAGTGGCCGGTGACTTACTAATAACAAATAATGAGACTGAAATCAAATTGGGATAAAAAAAAAGTTATGTTATTGCTTTCTAAACACATTTATTGTAGTTTAAAGACACATTGCTGTAAGTATTATTTGCTGTGGAGCTCTGTTATACACTCAGACACACTAACATGGAGCTCGTAGAAAAGAGGAACAGAGGGATTTGCATACATCACATGTGAAAGTGAATGAATTGAGCAGACTACTCATCTGCTTCTGACTCTTAAAGGGAGTCAGCTAAAGGGAAAACCGCTCTGGAGCTTCTCTGCAGCTCTAAGTATGCCCTCTGTGGCTGTCAACAGACAGCCACTAGAGGGCTTCCGGAATCCAAACTGACTTTTGGTCCGTCATCTGACGCTGGATGACCTCACAGACCAGCCATTGCCACGCATGTGCATTAGGTCTCCCCTGCCGGCTGACATTGGCAGGGGAGGAGCTTGGGCAAAGCCTTACCCAGTGCCGAGAGACATCGGCGCTGGATTCAGGTAAGTGGCTGAAGGTGGGCCCTGATGGAGGGGGCACTTCAGGAGCCTATAGTGACAGGAAAACCGGTTTGTTTTCCTGGCACTATAGGATCCCTTTAACTTTATGCGCTTCGTAAGATGCATATTCAGTAACAACAGCCTTCTCCTAATGTGACTGAGCAACTTGTAGCAGACAGTAGATATTTACTCACAGTGTCTAACATAGGTCAACAGAAGAGCTTTTTTCACAATGCAAGTAACGCATACAATTTTTCACTTATTAACACAAAACCATTCCATTGTGTCATTTGCATAGTATGAACCGCGCATGATCATGAAATTAATGTTTTGAAGCCTGTATGAGCAGTTTGCTCCCTGGGCCGGTTAGGAGTATTACAAATGAAGCTCATGAAACTTTGGGGTTAGGAAGGGGGTAGAAGGACAAAGATGAGAGGTAATGGCCCAAGATAAATACACAGCACACTCATGCTGGCTCAAAATGTCTTACTTAAAATAAAAGTTCTTGACTCTTAATCTAGGCAGCATATTTGCAAATAAGAAATCCTAGAGTACATTAGGATTATACCCTTTCTGATTTTGTCTGCAGAGTTACTGTGTTCCTGCTGGATGGGCGTCCACAACTTCGTGCATTTTAACTGCATCTTAGAATGTGCATGGTTGTATCGGCATTAGTTACTGCTAGAGATGCTTTTGCTAACAGGGCAGAACCATTAGTGATGGTCTTTGACACCTGCAACGTGTGAGCTGAAGACAGAACCATAGTTGACCTCTTTCCTCTATCAACCTTTCTCAATCCAGTGGAATATCCTCTCATTGATTACTGCTTGAGCTGTTGCTGTGCATACTCTCTGAGTATGGTAGCTTCCTTACTTCTACCAATAACCCTGAAACTGCAGGCCCCAGATATGCTTTGCCCTAGTTGGTTTGAATAGGTTTTATGCTTGGTGCCTTAACACATTGAGTTGTCTTACCGGTAGGTTTAAGTATGCCTTATATTTAGCAAATCTATTTCGCCATATAAAATTGGCAGGCTACCTCTCCATGTACTTAATATTTAAATGACAGTGGAGTTATATAAATATAATTAATTCTAATTTTGGATATCCCTTTTTAGTTAAGCAATATCTAAGGCAAATACTTATTTGCTCCAGCCCGTAAAGATGAGTAATCAGTGTTTCAACATTCAACAAAACAGTTTGCACTGTCAAGGTGTGAAGATTACCTTTAATTCTAATTTAAGCTATGTAACTAGTCCGAGTTAAAGACATATGTATCTAAAATGATGTGTGTGTATATATATATATATATATTACAGTGAGAGTGTGTATACCTAATAGTGTGTGTTAGTGAGAGTGTGTGTATACTTAATAATAGTGTGTGTTAGTAAGAGAGTGTGTATACTTAATAATAGTGTGTGCTAGTGAGAGTGTCAGTGACATTGTGTGTATACTTCAGTAAAAGTGTGTGTTAATGAGAGTGTGTAATTGGCATTGTGTGTATACTTAAGTGAGTGCGTGAGTGACCACGTGACCAATTTATATTCATAATACATAAAGATTATATTGAGAAAAAAATAGGCAGTGTGCATGTAAGGGTGTGTATGTATTAGGCAGAATGTGTGTATCGATGTATGTATTAGGCAGAATGTGTGTGTATGAGGCAGTATCTGTGTATAGATGTATGTATTAGGTAGAATGTGTATTTTGATGTATGAATTAGGCAGTATGTGTGTATGGGTGAATGTATGAGGCAATGTGCTTGTATGGATTTATATATTGAGCAATGTGTGAGAATGTGTGTATGGACAGCAGAGAGGAGCAGAGGAGGCGGAGCAGAGAGGAGCAAGACCAAGCAGGCAGAGAGGAGCCGGTATTGTGGCTAGCAGCCTGTGCCACATCTAGGTTCTGAGAAAAGTGAATTGATTGCAGCAGGGGCGTAGATAGGGCATGTGGCACCCGGGGCGGGTCCTGGGTTTGGCACCCACCTCCCCCCTTCTCCAAAAAAAAAAACCTACTACATTTTTAAAATGTTATTTTTTTACATTTTTAAAAAAATGTATTGAACAAATTTGTAAACTTTTTAAAACCCCTGCCCCCCTCTACAAAATCCCTGCACCCCCTCACACACAGTTACAAGCAGTCACACGCACACAGTCACACGCAGACAGTCACACATATAGTCACAGGCAGTCATACACACAGTTATAGGTAGAGAGTTACACACTGTTACAGGCAGACAGTCACATATACAGTCACACACACGGTCACAGGCAGACAGTCATACACATAGTTACAGCCACGCACAAAGTTACATGCAGACAGTAACACACAGTTACAGGCAGCATCAGACAGTCACACACAGACACATACACACACAGTTACAGGTAGACAGTTACGCACATACACACAGTTACAGGCAGACCGTTACACACACACACACACAGTTACAGGCAGACAGTTACATACACACACACACATACACATATTTACAGGCAGACAGTTATACACACAAGACAGACAGTCACACACACAGTTACAGACAGACAGTCACACACAATTACAGACAGACAGTCTCTCACACACACACACAGTTTCAGGCAGACAGTTACACACACACACACACACACACAGTTTCAGGCAGACAGTTACACACACACACACAGTTTCAGGCAGACAGTTGCACACACACACAGTTTCAGGCAGACAGTTACACACACACACAGTTTCAGGCAGACAGTTACACACACACACAGTTTCAGGCAGACAGTTACACACACACACACAGTTTCAGGCAGACAGTTACACACACACACACACACACAGTTTCAGGCAGTTACACACACACACAGTTTCAGGCAGACAGTTACACACACACACACACAGTTTCAGGCAGTTACACACACACACACACAGTTTCAGACAGTTACATACACACACACACACACAGTTTCAGGCAGTTACATACACACACACACACACAGTTTCAGACAGTTACACACACACACACTCTTATACTTACAGATAGTGTGGGCTGGAGGAGTGGATTCCCTGGCTGGAGGTGGAGGTGCAGGGATTTCTGCTTGCTGCACCTCCATGTGCAGTAGTTAAGGGCCGTGTTAAGCCCCACCCCCGCTCGTGGTTAGGCTCCGCCCCCAAATGGTCGAAGCCCCGCCCCCTCCTCCAGCGCGGCCAGTTCATCTTGCTGGTCTCCGTGTGAGCTGTGCGACACCCCAGCTGCCATGGGGCACAGCTCACACAGCCCCAAGACCAGGGTCAAGGCACCCCCTACCAGGTGGCACCCGGGGAGGACCGCCCCCTCCGCCCCCCCTTAGTCCGCCACTGGATTGCAGTGATTACAGTGAGTGTGACAATGGTTACTTACCCCTGAATGCAGACAGTGAGTGGTATGACAGTGGCACTTACTCCTGAGATTGCAGACAGTGGTGTGACAGTGTCATCTTACTCACCAGAGATTGTAGACAGTTTGCAGTGCGCCCCCACATAAGGTGTGAAACCTTACCTACCTGAGAGTGCAGTTTGCAGAGGGACTGAGTGAGCGGAGCATACACTCCAGACAGTGGCACTACTACTGTAAGTAACGTGAACTTTAATTGAAGGTTTTTAGTAAATTATATGTACGTACCCAGGATTACATATTGTGAGAATGAAACAAGTAATTTTAGTTTGTGTTGCTATAGGATTCACCAACTATAGGTCAGGGCACAAACATTAGTGCCAACCATTTTTAGCTGTTCATGGAAGTAGAGCTAAATCTGCTCTTCTTATAGCTCATTTGAGTTAGCCTTTCAAAATACAACTTTCTGTCTTTAATGTTTGTTAAAAGGTCTCATTCAAATTGCATGTAATAAATTTTTTTATTTTTTTTTACGTTTTTTATTTTTATTGTTCATAATATAACAGCATAGCCTGCCACGACGGCTTAAACAAGCTAGAAAGTTTTACATCGAATAACATATGCATGACATTGTAATTGCAGCACATTTTTTGTAATATAAAGAGAGATACTAATATGATTAGAGACATGAGAGATCATGTGCCTACTACATAGGTAAAGAGGAACAAATTATTAGCTTAAACTGGCACTAATTTTGGACAATGCCCCATTGTCTGCTAGGAGTGATGATAACAGGCTAGATAAAGATGGTTCATCAATTAAATCCACTGAGAGTAAATGCTACACATTCACTACCCTGCACCATAATAAGAGGTACGAATTACTGGTTATCCCTCAGTCTGGGCAAGCAGGAACTAGCGGGTTGGGCATATATTTAATCACCCTTCATGGCCACTTTCTTCACCTTCTCCTCCGCGCCACTCTGGGGACACATGGAAAGTACTCAGAAAAGTGACAGCGGCCAGCAGTACAGCTCTGGAGCACCATGACTCGATCAGCAGGAGTAGTGGTAAGTTCCCGAGAGGCTTGCCCAGAACTCTGCATAAATGCGGTAGAAAGTTAAAGGACCACTCTAGGCACCCAGACCACTTCAGCTTAATGAAGTGGTCTGGGTGCCTGGTCCAGCTAGGGTTAACCCATTTTTTAATTAACATAGCAGTTTCAGAGAAACTGCTATGTTTATGAATGGGTTAAGCCTTCCCCCTATTCCCTCTAGTGGCTGTCTCATTGACAGCCACTAGAGGCGCTTGCGTGCTTCTCACTGTGATTTTCAAAGTGAGAGCACGCAAGCGTCCATAGGAAAGCATTGTAAATGCTTTCCTATGAGACCGGCTGAATGCGCGCGCAGCTCTTGCCGCGCGTGCGCATTCAGCCGGCGGGGCGTAACGGAGGAGGAGAGGAGGCAGAGAACTCTCCGCCCAGCGCTGGAAAAAGGTAAGTTTTAACCCCTTTCCCCCTTCCAGAGCCGGGCGGGAGGGGGTCCCTGAGGGTGGGGGCACCCTCAGGGCACTATAGTGCCAGGAAAACGAGTATGTTTTCCTGGCACTATAGTGGTCCTTTAAGCGTAGCCTGTCCACGTGCTCTAGCACCTGTGAGGAGGAGTATGTAGGCCCCTGCTGGGCAGCCATCTTAAATACTAGGCCTCAGCCTGGTGATACACTGGTCTGGTGAGATCTTGTTTAGGTGTCCACACAGATACTCCAGTGGGGACCAGGAAATACCCCCCCCCCCTCCCTGGGTCCAAAGGGGGGAGGGGTTACAGGGCTGTTACGGATCGACTTTGTGCCATGTACCTAATAACGGGAGATTGGGCGCTTCCCCCAGCCATCGGCGCGCCAAGCACTGTAGGCCTCAGGTACAGACTCGTAGCATATGCACCAGGACACTTCAAAACAAGGCTGAATTGATGTGCTGGGCTTTGTCACCCTTCTGTAGCTTGGATTCCTAGTTTGTAGGTAAGTCCACTTAAAACACACAATTTGCTTAAAAATTGCCAGGAGCTACGTGAAAGCAAACAGTGCAGAAGATGGTGCTAGAAGGGGAGAGTTAAAAAAAGAATTACTTATATTAAGAATGCACACATTCCAAACCAAGAGTTACAGAATATTCATGAAGGCCTATATCCAGTGTATATATATATACACACACACACATAGACACGCGCACACGTACGTGTGTGTTTGTGGCAGGTCCTTCCTACCGTATGTCTAAAGTATTAAAGAATTAAATGTTTGTCTTGTTTTCTATTGTTGAGTGCTGCAGAGTATGCTGGCACTACACAACCCTGCGAGGTATAAAAAGCAGGACCGAAGGGGGGGATGCCAGTGGCATACAGTGTGAAGTGCCCATTAAATGTTACCATTTCAGTCATCCACTCAG